GCTCACTGGCAGGGGAATGTAAGAAGCTGAACAGTCCCTGACTTAACACAAGCACTGCTCATCAACAACTAAAACATCAGTGTGTTATCAACATCGTTCTCATCCTAACTCTAAAACACAGCACTGCACCAGCTACTAGGAAGAAAACTAACTCTATCCCAGCCAAAAGAGGGATAATACCATATGAGAGGAAAGCTCCAGCTTGTGAACTCTCTCCCTCATCAAAAAAATAAAAAAAAGGATAAGTTCTACCTGTCAAAATCAGTCTGTGTGTGTCCAAACATGCCCATCAAGCTTTCCTTGTAACTGCTGGAATTTATTCCCATGGAAGCTGACATGTATAACAGCTTTGCATTGCTGTTATACATGTATACTATTTGCATATAGTATATGTGTTTCATAAAGTTACACGTACTTCTACACTCTAGGTCAGTCAGCAAACCAGTTCAATCAACCATATTAGTTAATGGTTTAATCAACCATGCAGTGTCCAACATGTCACACTGGAGCAGATGCAGCTATGTTATGCAAAAGACGAAGAGAAGTAAAAAGTACAAGGAAGAAAGGTATAGTACAGGGAAACAGCAAAATTGGGCAATCAGCAAACAGCTCTGTGTTTCAGACAGGAATAAAAAAATTAGCCCATATGATCAGACTTTGGAAATCAGTTAACAGCACAATCAAAAAGACTGTTTCATAGAGTGGAAGCAGACTACAAGGAAGATTTGGTATGAGCTGTGGAGAGACAAGGAGGACACAAAGAAGGTATTGGAAAAACTTGAAGAAAGGCAGGAGAGTAGGCCAAGTTAAAAATCAAAGGGATTACATGGGAAGGTCAAATCTGAAAAGGATTTTGAAAATGTGATTTCTGTAGAAGATAAGTAGCTAGTGGAAACCTTAGGGATTGGCAAAACATTCTTCTTTCTGCTTGCAGCAAGAAAAAAATATCCACCAGCATCTGGACAATGCAAAAATCAGAAACTCAGAATTTACAGAGTCCTCAAAAGAAGGCACAGACAATACGAATCAACCCTTCCTGGGCAACAGAAACAAATAAATTTTGCAAGAAGTGAGCTGCCTTAAGAGAAAGTCCAGGTTTCTGTCTCATTAGCAATAAGATGACAAAATGCTGAAGTTCATTCTGAGGGTCTTCATTTAATCAGCAAAAGGAATGCCAACCTTACCTTTCATTGAAGGAAACTAGAATTAGGCCAAAATGTCATGAAGAATGCAGGAAGTGAAACCTATCAATTCATTTATTACCCATATAAAAGCGGATAGTCAGTGTTAGCTTCACATATCAGAAACAGTCAAAAAGCAAGATTAAATTCATGAAAAAGCAACACAAAACTCAAGTAGAGATGAGAAGGCTGGATTATTTTGATTATTTTAGGCATAATCTTCATAAGCAGGCACTGACTCAGAAGATAACCCAGTATGCTCCTAGTCATTAAGGTTAACCTTTTGTGTGGGAAATGCTCGCCTCCTGCAGACTGCGAGCAATCTTCCTTCCCTACATCATCCACTCATGCCTTTCCACAGCAGTTCTGCATCCCTCCTGTGGTTTCTGGAGTAAAGACAAGAAGTGCAGCTAATCAGCCTACACACATGTAGTATAGATGTTTTGGGAGTGGGAGAGAAGCTTCAGCATTGCACAGAAGCCAGGGGCTTCCTATCTCTTCCTTCCCATTTCAACCCCCTTCACTACTCTTTATCAGACGACTAGCCCCACCAAGCGGCATGTCTTGTTATGTGGCAGAATGGAGCATGTGCCTATTTCCTGATCCAGTGCAAGACACCTCAGACATTTAGGAGGGGGAAAAGGTTTCGACAGAGAAGCTCTAAAGGAAGCTAGCACTCGAGAGGCTGTTTATGGCAGAAGTCAAAATATTAAACTAGCATAATGGTCACTTCTGTACAGAGACTTGCAGATGAAATGAGATTCACAAGGGAAAAGGTATCTTATCAAAGTAATAAGTAGACAAGGTTTCAGAAGAAATGCTCAAGTACCAGAAGGCTGTGTGATTCTTACCTAGTATATTAGCTGTTCTAATAACTGACATATATCTCCCTAAAAGCCCTTATTTCTTCATTACGTCTTCCAGCTACTATGGTTACAATGCTACATTCTACTGCCTATGAGACTATAAGTAACAAATATTTATGTATCTTAAAAGGACTATAAATGCTACATTCCTTACTAAATATATTTTTCAGATCATTCTTATAAAGGCAACTTACATTGCTATGCGTTTTGCTGATATTTAAAGCATGGTTTAAATATAGCAGGTTTGGCAGATCACAAGCTGGATCATGTAGGCTTTCCAAATCTTTCTTGTAATTCACCTGGAAAAAGAATTCAAGTTACGTAAAACAAATATTAACAAAATAATTCACAGCTTCGTATTACAGTGTGGTCATCCAGAAATAGAAAGCCTGAAGTGCTTGCCTGAACAATCTCTACCAACCACTAGATGGTGGTCATTTACTATTATTTGGAGGAAAGGAAACATCGGTAAGAGATTCATCCTGCTGAGCAAGTACTTGGGAACTACTCAAAGTTTTCCTCAAAAATGACATTTACAACAAAATCACGATTTGTATGACTTTTCAGACTGTTGATTCTTATTCTTTTTCTCTTGATTCAGGAATTAAACTGTCCAAATAAAAGAAGTTGCATATAAACCAGTTAAAGGGAAATGCTCCTGTAAATTTTATTTAATACAGATTGCTTTCAGCAAAGATAAGCAATACAGTCACCTACAACAAAAGATAATCACTTAATGAAGTAGTAGAAAATAACTTCCTATCAGCGTACAGTAGGATTTACCATGCCTCTGATAGCTGGATGTCCAGATGGCTGGAAGAAAACTAGCCACCTTTACCTAACTTGGATAACAAAACTTTAAACCAGTACCTTTAGTCACTTCCACACATATACCATGCTCTTCACTGATTTCGGCAGACTTCAAATCAACAGTACTCAATTTGCATCTCTCTCATAAAAGTTATTACTTCAAATAACTTTTTACTAAACATTTAGATTTTTGAAACAATTACATATTGGGTAGAACCCTTCCCAGCACCGGGCTCTTCTGTTCCCATTGAGTGGTGCCCCACACGTTGGAAATGCCAAACTACAGAAAGCATGTTCCTTGGCTATCTGGGATCACGGCCTCAAAGAAGAGCTCACATTTTTAGCACTAGAAACACTGTTAAATATATCAGCATTATCACTCCATACAGATGTTTTCTTTAGTCTGGTTCCAGCAGTAGGCACTCATTGCTGAATCTAGTGACTGCTATACTTTGTAACACCATTCAGAGGATCAACCAGCAGAATGAAGTCTAAAAGATAGACATATAAATCTGAGCTGCACATACAACCTCCTTCTACAACCACTGGAAAAAAGCCATCACTTCACTCTTCTGAAGACTGGAATCTGCAACCGGTTAGAAGAATTGCCCCCTATAAGTATTTCTTTCCCAAACATGAAGGGAGCGAGTACAAGGCAATTAGCTCACAGTAAGCAGTCATACCTTCTGAAACACAAAGTTAAGCGAGATGAATCTCATCTAAAATCGTTATGAAAAACTCTCCAGGCCCTTGGCAAAGGGCTTTGTCAGAAGCAGAGGAAGAAATGTATAACATCCTGTACCTGCTATACAGACACAGATAGCAGAGGTTGCAGCTCAGAGTAATTTGTAAGATGGAAAAAGAAATTATGCTTGAGAAAAAAATATTAGGTTTTTCGCAATGTAAATGCAGGTAAAATACAAAGCAAATTCACTTACATTACTTGCCAAGGTGGATGCAATCTGTGCTTGCTTGAAGGAAGCACTGTCAAGAGGATTGTACTGATGGCTCTTCATTTCCTTACTGAACTGCTCTTTGTATTTCACCTTCCACCAGAACAAACATATCTAATATTAACATGTAGCACTTAAAGAAGGCACAGAGAATTCAGATTACAAAGCAGCTTATTAAAAGCAATTGCCTGATCCATAAATCTTTAAACAATCAAGACATTTAAATAAGCCCAGTTTAGCCACACCTGTGACTCTCTCATGCTGGTTTCAAAGTAATTTTTCTGTATCTGAATTTTACTAAAATAAAAAAATAATTTTTAGTTTTTAGCGATTAGTGGTCCTGAAGCCTTTATAAACAGGAAACAGAAACAAAACCGTATGACTCACCTGAGTAATCAAGTAAACCAGAACTGTTTGACTAGTAATAATAATCTACTGAGAATCATTCAATTCATAATTAACATAATAAATGTGGGTTTAAAGAGAAAAAAATTATAAGATTAATAAATTGTAAATCTGGCAAAATAAACCACTTGTAAATTTTTCAACCACTTCAAAGTGGCACATCAGAATCAAACTTCCCACTCAGCCATCTTCCCACCACCAAGTCCACATGTCACTCACACTGAGTCAGGCTGTCACCAGAGCCCCAGGTTTATTTGTAATTCTGCCCCAAGGAATCTCACTGCAGTACAGTCCCTTCTTGGGGACAATGTCCACCTCATTACAGTGTTAGCAAGCATAATTAAATGACTGACTGCCATCACTTTCGCTCTCTTTTCTTCTTGTTCGAAAGAAAAAGGGGAACTACAACACATGTAAGAAGAAATAAGCAATATGTAAATGTTGAGGAAATGGTATTAGAAGTAAATAAATCACAAAAAATCCATAAAACCTGCTGAAGAACTGACTTCAGAATCCGAACATATGAAATCGAACAACTAGTAAATCTCCATCCTTTGTCCTCCTTGTTGTGCATGATCATCAAACATCTGGAGACTTTGCACACATGCCTTGCTTCTTTTCAACAGCTGGGCATCATGCAGGAGAATAAAACTCAGTCTGAATTATGCTGCTTTCCTGAATATTAGTCAGACACCTGATATCTGAGCCTGTGCAATATCCATTATAATTTACCACGCTCTGCATTAAATAAATATGCAGCTTTTTCCTTACTCCTTTTTTCTTTATTCCCACATGAATGTCTGATAAAGTGGTTAAACCACCTCAATCTCCTTTATTTTTTTTGTCAGCTTTAGTTGTGAGAAGAATTTTCTTTTTCCTTTTTAATTCTTCTTTGCCTCCAAAGGCTCTCAACATGGTTTAGCTTACGTAACATTGTTATGCTTAGCCACGATGCCCAGTATTTCATTAATCTGGATAACAAGAAACCAAAACAAAGCCACCCAAACAGACACTAACCATTTATGTTCAAGAACTATATTATGATTCTAGCACTTATGCTAATTTTTCAAAGGAAGGAAATTCAAAAATGTTGTTACTTTTAAAGAGAAACTTTATCTGAACGCACGAAACTTTCACACTAACTCTAGAAAAGAATATCTATTGCCTCTGGTAGATTCGTCTGGTTCATATTGTTTGATATTTGCCTTGGCTTTGGATCAAGTGCAAAGGCATATATCTGAACATACAAAGACATCGCCTTTGTCAAAGGCAAACTGACGTTCTATGCAAGCAGTGAAGGAACAAACCAGTGGGCTTTTCTCTTTTAAAAGGTGTGTCTAAATCTTGCCTTCTAATAAAAATCAGATAGTGCTGGAATATGTGATTCAGAAAGCCTCTGAAACCAGAGATCAAGCTTAGCATGGTAAGCAAAATTATCTTTTACTCCTTGGGCATCAGCTCATATCATAATGACACTGCGAACAAGAGTTTAAATATCCAGCTACTGCAGCCTGTATTCTGCCCAGCCAACAAATGGCCACAAACTGTGCACGCAAGCGGAATGTAAAAGGTGGTCCTTGATATTCTTTCTAAATGTGAAAGCATCAGTACTAAAGGGACCTCTCTTCACAACTGGCTTGCCATGTTCCAGCTGCAGCAATTTCATGCCATCTTTTGAAAGACTAGTTTAGCAATACATTTCAACCTAGAGTTCCAGTAATAAATCCCTGGCAGTGTCATTTCTGATCACACCACACTACTGAAGGAAAGAGGGGGAGCCTGTAAACCCAGTCTTCAGAGGGCTGTGTCTCCTGATGTCGATGTGCAGGAGGCTCCCAAATTTAAGGAGATTGCCCACCAATCCAACTGTAAATGTTCCTGTTGGATTGAGGCATCTCTCAGAACCTCTAGGCCCTACTGCCTCATCTGCCTGCTCTCCTTATCGCCTTTGCTCTCCTCCCCAACACCATCACACATGTCACTCTAGCACAAAATGGAAACCACACAATAATATCAGATGACCCTGGCAGTATCTCAAGAGCACTTCCAGCAGTAATTTAACTCTGATGTGTCATAGGGGATTCATCGCATTGAAAGTTACACACCCATTCACTTTCTCTTTTATCAGTATTTTCCTGATTCTTTCTTCCTTTTGAAAGAAAGCGTGGGGTGGCAGAGGGCGAAGAGAGAAGAGCAAGCCCATGGATGAGTCACTGTGAAGTAACGCACATGGTATTTATCCTTCTTTTGAACAGGAGAAAGTTATGAATGCAGTTTAAAGGGGGAAAATAAGCCTGAGAGAAAGGCTTCTGATTAAAAACAAGGCAGAAAAATACTTCATCAGTGATTTCTAAAACATCCAAAGGGGGTAGGTCTTAGCAATGCTGTAACACGGTGGAAGAGCAAATAAAAAGCCAGAGTGGAAATGACATTTGTTAGTGGAAGCTTACCTACAAACTTCATCATTAACCAACAGTTTTATTTTAATGAGGGTTTAAAAGATGGCTACTTAATTACCATCTTAATTAAAGTCTTAAGTTTGTTTATTTTTTTAGAGAGTGTGTAGTAGGGATTAATTTAAAAGAAATGCGTGGAGGTTGCTCTCTAACTGTTGTTGAAGGAAGAGCAAACTTTGCAGGCTTTTAACACAACATCTGTGAAAAACCAAACTGGAATTAAATAAGAGGTGGGTAAACAAACTTCTCATCGGCCTTGCACAAAACCGATAAAAGTCAGAATTCCAGCTGGACAGAGCAGTGTCTTTTGAAGCTTTGCAGCAAAATTCCTAAATCAATTCTGTAGTTCAAAGCTGTTCACACAGGGAGTGTTCAGTTTCAGAAGTGGATGACATCACCCACTGTCCAGATTTACAAAGAAACTACAAAAATTGAAGCATTCAACCACTGGGATCCCAGGATGAAGCAGACACTTGCAGCTAAAGCATTTCCTCATGAACATATGAAAACATACTAAAAGAAAAAAAAATTTAAAAAAAAAAACCTGTCAGAGCAAACAGATATTGGAGAAAATGTTACATAAACAAAGAGGTAAATTAAAATATTGGTTGCTAAAAGCACTAGGAAAGCTTAACACAGAGACAGACTAAGAAAATTCTAGGCTTTTTGTGTTGTTAGTAAAAATCTCAGAAAAATATTCTACCTCTAACAATTTTATCCCTGAAACAATAAGCACCAGATCCAGCATGAAATACAAATACCTACAATTATTCATCATAAAACCAATTATTGAACACCATAAGGAAAATACTTCATATCAGCAGCTCTTTCAAAAAACTAATAAAATGCATTAGAAGACATAAAAAAGTCATAAAAAAGAGCTTGTTTTTATAAAAAATACTAAAAATAACCCAAGGTATACAATGTACATTCAGTAAATGGACAAGCTCCACATTTTCACAAGGACTAACACAGTTTCTGGTTTAAATTTGGTTTAAAATCAACAGAAAGGGGTTACCACGTGCTGTGGGTAAATATACTAGTTCTGGGAGCTATTATTTTTGCTGCTGCTGTTGTCAAAAGCTTTGTTAAATAAAACCTAAAAAGAAAAAAAAAAAAGAATAAAAAGGAAAAAGAGAGGAGAGGGAGGGTACACTGATTTTGTAGAGCCTTGAGTGCCAGTCAAACATTAACACTGTTTTCTTCGCTTTGTTTGCCTTCCTGCTTGCCTTGATTGCTTTTTCCCTTCGTTACACCCACACTGCCTGACCTCTTCTTGCTCCTGTTCTCCATACTCCCTAAATTACCTACCCATATGCACCACATTAAAACATGTTATCATCTTCTCTTCCCATTACATCCATCAGAATTGTCAACTTTGCAAATTTACTGAGGGTCAAATAACTAATATTTCTCTGCATTGTCGCAGCTTATAGATTCATGCTATTAAGGGAGATTATCAACTTTCAGCACAAAAAGTTTATAATGCTCCCATTTGCTGAGAAACAAACAGAAACCCTAAAAGCCAGAAAGTCTGGAGACAATAAAGAGATCATTAACTTTACTATTTTTTAAATCTTGTAATTGTTACAAGCCTGCTTCATGATACTTGATGAAGAGGACTGACATGACAGACCCATATTGAGGGCTCTTCCTCTCCTACAGCACAGGTGCATTCCTCATCCTGCCCCACAACCCTGCTCTTTGGACACAGAGGTCATCTTCATTTTTCTGTGCTCTTGATTTATGGTCAGTGTGTCTAAGTGTTATAATGATTCAAATAATATATAAAAACATTAGACAACTCATGGCCACTGCCTTCCCTTCGGAGGAGCTGGGGAATTGCTGAGTGCACCTCCCTGCTGCCGAAAGCAGCCTGGTGTTTACCATCTCCATGCTGATGCACGCAGATGGCTGGAAACAGTGACAAGCTGAAGCATTGCCTCCCTTTCAAAAAGTACGTATGTTCCCCATCACGCACCGCAAGCAGCCACAACAGTGTAGACTGAGGAGAGGACCAGAGAAGAAAGGATCCCAAAACATGGATCCATGCCCAGCCACTACAGTGTTTGGACCACTGAGGTTCAGTAGGAATCTTCTTTACAAATAAGCCGTAAGCAGGTTACATTTTGTCAACTGCTCCTCTCTTGCTGCCACACCTTCTGCACTATTTGGACTCTAAAAAAGTTAAAATTGCACACCAAATGCTCTCTTCGGCAGAAGTATCTCAACTACAACTGCTGCCATCCCAGTCCCTGGCAGTAAAGAGACTCTATTATAAAGCTTTTGCACATGCAGCATGCATTGTCCAAGAGAAAAAGCACATCTAATAAAAATGAGATAAAAAGTGTATTTATGAAGCCCATGATGCAGCTGGCTCAGCATCAGCCTGCAGGCCCTCATGATCCAGCGGCTATTTTCTGATTGTTGCGATTGTTCACCACAGCCTCAAGGGTACCAAGGCTTAGTGAGTTGGAGAGGGCTATTGGAAAGGGACCCGCTTTGGTCTTATTTGTGATGACAGGCAGCTGCAAGCCCACTAGGCTCTGAAATAGGCTGCAAGGAAAGGAGTGTGGCAGCCACTGAGTAGACATACAGGAAACCATACTCTAAATTTAGACACAAACCCTTTTAAAAACCACTAGAAGTGTTTGCTAAATGACAGACAGCTCCCTTTTCTATAAGTGACACCCAAGTCTAAGCAGCGCCGCACTTGCCCTTCTTAGCACAGGCTGACTTCTGAGTCTGCACGATGTTAAACATAAAAGAATCTCTTAGCAGACTTGCCCATCAGCAGAGGAATGAGCACATGATCCATTAAAAAATGGCAGAAAAAAATCTATTTGGAGAACACAAACTAATTTTGATTCTGAACATATCAACAACAAAGCAATAAAAAAACATGTCTTTTCTTTTTCTATTTGTGCAGTATTACTGCTTCAAATTTAATGATGGTCCAGTGTGAAACAGGAAACCATGCTGCAGATATCTAGGGACAATGTTTGGAGATAGCAAAAAGAGTTCAAGCTCTCACAGATACTGCACTGTTTTGCAGCTTGTTCCCTATGACACGTTATTCTTATTTTATGCTAGTTCTAGGGAAGATGTTTACTATCTAGCCAAATCACAAGTATTTGTTACACAACACTGATTTTCAGACTGTTTTAGTGTATACACTACTACACTTGGGGGGGTGGTGTGTATTCTAGTTCTGGGAAGGCTGACATGGCCTTCTCCAATCAAAGGGTGTTATTCTCCTCCTACAGGAGAGCACAATTTGTTCTTGGGTTTACAAAACCTCTAAGGGTAGCCTGACAGGATTACTAGTGAGGATTATGCAAGGCACTGTTTAAGAACTACTCCAGGGAAAAAAAAAAAAAAAAAAATTAAAAAAATAAAAAAAAGAAAGAAAAGAGAAAAGAAAAGAAAAGAAAAGAAAAACAGGTCAGCAGTCAAAAATCCCTTCTATCAGTGTCAGGCTGATCTGTAGTAGAGTCTGATGCATAGATATTAGGAGAGAAGACTCATAAGAGGAAAAGAAAGAATATTTGTGTGTTCAGCTTTCATTTTAGTTATGGACTAAAATACTTTGTCCTTTTTTTACCCCCTTTTTTTTGCCCCAAGGTTAATATGTAACAGAAAGTAGTACATAAAAGGTTCGGTTTCAGGGGGAGGGAAAGCGGGTGGTTTACGTGTCAGGCCAAATTCAGATCCCATTACTCACATTAGCAAGCAGTTATACAAAAGACCCCAGTTATTTCAGTGGGATTAATCACAGGGTAAAGTTCCACTCAAATTGAATGAGAAGCAAAATTTGCCTCTAAATTACATACAGATCAGATAATATTTTAGAAATCCTAGATAATCTGTATAAATATACAACATCTAGACAAAAAATGAGTTGGAACAGTCAAAGTTCACTGGTTTTTTGCATTAAAAATGTATATTCTGTTTCCTAAGAATCTTAAATTTACCAGTCATTGAAATACTATATGAAAAGTTTGAGAACATAATCTTCATGCAATTAGAGATAATCATCTAAAAATCTAAATATTTTCTTGCATTACTAGGAATGAGAGATCTGAATTAAGTCATTGTAAAATGATGGAGAATCTTACTTGGCTTAACAGTTTTGAAACTCCTTTAGCATGTTCAAAATCTGGTCTTCCAAGTACAGTGGGCTCCTTATTCATCTCTCCCCTTCCTTTCTTGTACTCCGCCTTAAAAAAAAAAAAAAAGGAGCATGAATCACTATCAAATTAATTGCTTTTGCTTTATCAAGAGAAATGTAAGCATCAAAGCTAGTATGGAAAGTCTTATTTAGTGATCTGCACTGACACTACTGTTCTAATCAAAAAAAAACCCTTCTCAGGCTTCAGCTCCTTAACAACAACTTATTTATTTATTGTAAAACACAGTGCACAGCATTCGCAAATTCAGCTTTAACCAAATGCACATCTTAAGCCTGAGAAACATTGTTCTCCCAATCAGGCAGAATGATTTACAGTGGCTCAGCGTTTCTTACAAGAGAGTCTGCAGTTTACACAAGATTATTTGTAGCAGCTGAAAATAGTCCTGAAACAAAACTAGGCTGAGGGGCAGCTTTTTTGAAACGCAGGGTCAAATTCCGCTCTCAGTTTCACAACTGCAGTCTTGCTGATTGTCACTGAGGTTGCACTGGAGTAAGAGAGCAGAATTAGTCCCACAAGGTTCATGTTATGTGATCTTTCCAGCTGAACTGCCTCCCATGCAAATTGCTGCAATTTTTTTCCACAATGCATTAGAAAACAGCACAGATGAATCAACAATAGGTGCTTTGCGATATCACTAACTAAATTACCCATTGCCTAAAATAGGCTTCTTGCATTACTTAGGCACTGTGAATCAGCAAGGACACGTCATAACAACCGACTGAGAGAAATAGAAGTCCCAAAGCCGCTCTAACTGCAACGGGACTTGAAGAGCAGTTAGTAAATTTGGGTGTTGAACCTAAGATTTTGTAGCTGTTCTTGCTTTTCAGAAAATGCTGAATATTCAAAAGGTGAATCTCGGATCTCTTTAAACTGTCTCCCCATAGCTGCCTAGTCAGTCTCACATTAAACTATAAGCGGTTACTTAAAATCTTGGCTCAGAGCTTTTAATATATATATTGTTTGACTTGTCTACAATAAAATATTAAACTGCACCATACATTGCTGCTTCTCAAACTGCTCCTTGACCTATCCATTAGCAGATGTCACAGTGGGAGGGCAAAGAATTTGAGAGGGGAGTTCAGGGAGGAGAGCCCCTATGCAAGAAGCAGCGTGTTTGCACAGCTCTCAGAAGGACAGCAGGGAATTGCATTTCCCTGTCGCTGCCAGCTGAGATGGGAGGAGGAAGGGGAGTCCTGGGATGTGAGCTTCTCTTGTACTGAGGTGAAAAAAGGCTTGGTATGTCTTCTGAAGCGCAGTACAGCATACAAGCATGTGACTTATTTTGAGAATTATTATCATGATGAAAGCTGAAACAAAACCACCTTTAGGAAGCTTAAGGTTGTCTTTAAATCAATAACCAATAATTGCAAAGGTCAACATCAAATTAGAAGAAACCCATAACTTCGCAACATATCAGGCAAGGTTAGTGGGTTTTTTGTTGTTTTGGGGTTTTTTCATAATGAAACCTCCATATCAGACTTGAAGTTGCAGGTTTTCTGCTTGTGACATTTGAGAATTTCAGCAGCATTCTAAACAATCTGTCTGACATTGGAATAAATAAAATAACATGTCTAAAAATACAAATGGTGTAACAGATGAACATACATCACTTATTATCTTTGTTATCTCAGTTGCCATCTTTATGTCTGGCCTGTTCAGCACTTCAGTGTATCTATGAGTATCTTGCACATCCTTCTTATAGGATACCTGTCAAACAAAAAACAGTTTTGTTTAAAATAGACAAACAAAAGCATTTGAAGCTTATAAATAAGCTCTGAATGATCTATCAACTCAGCCATCAAATTTAATAAAACTCTGTTTGACAGAGATTATTTAGTTGAACCCTCACACAGGTTAACAGGAAAAGGAAGAAATTCAAAAGCATAAAATACAATATTTAAATGAAAAATGGTTTTGCTTAGAAGCACAGTAGAAAATTAAAGCACTGCAAAGACTGAAACATTAGGTTTTATCGTTAAATTTCAGAGGACTTCTAAGAGTACAGCTTTTTTTGTTTTATGCTGTACCCTTTTTTAACATAAACTAAACCCGCTACGATACTGAGCACCGCAGCCTGGCAGACTGCAGCTACACTGAACAGAAACTGTAACTCTACCACAGCAAACATCTTGCTCAATAATAGGCAGCCGTGCAGCTGGTACGTAACTCGATGACACAACTCCACCTCAGCATCCCCCCACTCCCCGCAACTCCACTTATCTGCTCCTCTGCACAATCATGCGAACGAGACGGCTGAGTGTTCCAGCATGTGGAGTACAAAACTGAATCTGTCTGTGCAAAAGCCGCTACTATAATGAATGAGCCCAGAAAGCTTTGGCCAGAAGGCTAAACCACAGGTAGGAGAGTCCAAACATTCTTCATTTAGCAAAGCAATCACAGGAACAGCACAGACCTCAGGGACATTAGCTCTGGGACCACAAGTTATCCTTCTCCCCCTTCAGGGTCTGTAGACTTTTTCTTCTTCCTTGCTGTAGCACATGTATCAATCTAAGCCAATTTCCAAGAGCTGCCTTACTGAATTATTCTGAATGATTAAGATAATCGCCAGATAGTGTCTGACAAATTGAAGTTTCAGGCAAAAGTTAGAGAATACCAAATTAAGTCTACAGAAAACAGAAAGTATTAGAATAATTCCTGCTTTACCAGACAGTCTTCTATATTTTCTTCTATTGTTTAATAAATTTAACCAACCTCTCATGATAGTATTTCAACATCAAGAAAGTCCTCAGCTTGAAGCTTCACTTATAAACTCCATTCCTACTTCCAAATGTTCCAGTAAACTTTCACTCTGGGTACAATGCAACAAACTCATAAACTGCAGCATGCAGCAACAAATATAATTTGTAGAAATGTTATTGTAAAAGGAAAAGAAAAAAATCTTACTTTTTGGCAAATATTTTACAGGCAACAGGGAAGTAATTTTGCATCCATATGGCTTTAGCTAAATAGACAAGCTAAATAGGCTTCATTGTTGGCAGCTTGCCCACAAATAGGTCTTATAATTTTTAACCTACAATGAGTGACACACAAGTGTAATCACTGATAAAATAAACAAATAAACAGGTTGGCTGAATACAGCCCAAAGTATCACCTACCAAGAAAACAGAAACTGATTCTTCCAGCTGGTTTAAACCCCTGGAAGTTTTGTTTTGGTTAGGTTTAGATTTCCTCTATTTTTTTAAGAAACTAGATGTACAGACAAGCATTTGCAATTCAAGGCTTTACATGAATTTAGTTAATTATATGCTGTTCATCCTAATGACCACATGAGGTGAGGTGAAAACCACAAAGGCAGCAGAAACAGGTTTCTGAATAGCACCCTATCATCCATGTAAATTGCAAATTAAAGGCCAGCATATGTGCTCAAAATAGAAATTAGGAATGGAGTGAATTTAACAACAGAGAATCAAGAATAGTGGTGATAAAGTTGAGGAAATGTGGTCACTTATTGCTCCCAAATGACATGATCATATAGTACATGAAATAATGGATTGTGGTTAATTTCAGGGGGAAAAGGGGGGTGGAATAAGACAGTGACAGTCCTTTATATTTCACGATTTCCAATTATATTAGATGCAAGGCCAATTGCTATAGCTTTCCCTGAGTGAATTATTATTCTTCCTGCACCTAAACCAGTATACCTATTACTTATGTCTGAGGGAAAGTCATCTAGCATTTTACAAATGTCTGCAATATATATTTGCTCCATTCTGCAGCTTGTCATACTCCAGTGAGAATAAAAATGTTATGCAGCAGAACAGTAGTTTGTCAGAGGTAGGCCAAAGAAAGAAAAAATATGTTTCCCATTTCCTGAATAACCTCAATCCCTGGATGCTGACCCTTTCCCACTGGGACAGTGTGCTGGCCTCTATTACACAGCTGCTATTCTGTTCCATGTAGTGATTTTTTTTATTTTTTTTTTTTATAGTGCTATGTTGGAAAAGTAAAACCAGAGCTATTCCAAGGGAGCAGGGGAACAGATGTAGACAGGGCAAAGCAACCAGCTTGGTGTGTGCGCCCATAGGCACCAAGAAGATGAAAAGCTAAGAAGCCCACAAGAGGGGAGAAGAGAAAACAAAGCCTGGTCAAGGAAACAGCAGAAGCACCCCAGAAGGGGGACATCTTTTCTCCTGAGTTGGTTCAGCCCTTATTGAGAGGCTTAAACACTGACTGGAACCTCCAGGCATTATATGATGCACATACTCAAACTTCACTTGAAAGCGTTGCTAAAGCTTTACCAAAAAACATCACCAAAGGTTCAAGAATTGCTTCTTGTTATGAGGACCACAGGTCTACAAAACATCTTCCAAAACTGTTTGCATAAGAAAAAGCAACCAAGATACTGACAAGAGCAGCAACGAAAGACCTAAATGGAGAATTTCAGCAGAGCAGTGGGAATTGCAAGCGAGAAAGAAGCAGGGACAAAAAGGAAGAAAAATTGTACCATCTCTAGTTTTGAAGTTGCTAATAGTAAATTAAAAATACTAACTAAATTTAAATGGTTTTTTACCCCAATTTGAAATTACAATATAAAGTGGTTACATTGTTGAATATTTTTAGAAACAACAGTAATCTGAACAAAAGCCATTCTCATGATTACATACTCTGAATTGCCACTAGTTTTTTAAAAGCATGGAAAATTATCAGTGCTTGCTCACAATTAGTAGACTAATTTTAATAAGGCAACACCACCAGCTCTTATAAAAAGGCGTAAGGTCCACTGGGAATAAATCTGGTGGTTTATTTACTCCAGCTGAGGGTCTTGAAGATGCTTCGCCTTTCATGATGGTGTCAGGACATTGGAATGCACTACAATGCTGCAAAGTAAACAGATTTTCAAAGGTGCTGCAAAACATCTCAGGTTGTCAATCAACAAACTGAAACTTCTGCTACATGGTGACCCAAGCACACTTAGGTTTAAAGACTCAGACCTTTCCTGCAATCTTTTGTCCTCTCCCCTATTCCAATTCCAGAACTATTCCAAGCTATAGGTAATAAATTATTAAAATATGCACAAGCAGCTTTGAACACATTCTGCCCTCTTGAGATGCACACACAGAAGCCAGCAAGGAGCTGGGCACACCTATCTGCAAGAGAATTTGTCTCTTACTGCGTGTCCCTGCTTAGTATTTTCTAAGACCTGCAAGTTCACTTACTAATGGCCTGTCAGCTGTGTCTCTGCCCCCTTTTCTCTCATCTGCACTTTGGGGTCCATCAGCACTAAGAATATGACTAGCTGGTGACAATCATCATTGGCAACAGCTTTTCTGATCCCCACTCAAATGGTGTTGAAAACTGTTCCCGGCTTGTGTAGAAGAGACAAACACATTTCTGGCCTATTACAGATTGATGCAGTCATCCTTTCCAGTAATGGGCTTGAAAATTGATTGGTCCCAATTACATCAGGAGTAAACACATCATTTTCAGCACCAGTTGGAAGTGGTCCAGGGGGACCTGCTGTTGACAACCACTGTCAGCAGAAAGTTAGTCAGTGAAAGGTGATTTTTCTAATGCAGATGCTGAACAGAGAGCCAGGAGAAGCTTTAACATGATCTGCATCAAAACAAACATCAACATTTTGGTATGTTATTGATGGTGTTTAAGCACATTAAGCTCAAGATATGCTGATTTGGTCTTAACAGAAAGTATGTAATCTTTTGTGTGTGGGGATTGGGACTGCAAAATAGCCTCAACATGAAAAAAACCTTACTCCTAAAACAATACAGACTTCTTAAATATTCAAATTTAGATAGTCAGTGAAAGAGTATAAATTACCTCTACTGACATCATATGGACTACGAAGCACATACATATACATCAAAAGTTTGCCCAACTGTCAACTAATGTCTTAAAAGCAGCACTGTTTCATACATAGGCGTAAGAGAAAAGATACTAGGGCTCCAACCTTAGATATGCAAACTGCCTTTTAAATGTTCACAGTTGAGTCTATTGCAGTTTTCTTATTTGGAGAATCAGAACACCACTTCCTTATTTCATACAATGTACAAGTACTTAACATTTTTTTTCTGTTCATAATGCCCGGTGGTGGATCAGGTCATGGAACGAACATGCAAAACTGTGATCCACAGCTTTGTTTACCTTGATCAAATACTATGGGCAGCTTCCACCCAGGCACAATGTGGCAAGTGTTTTCTTTGCTTAAGATATTCAGTTGTCATGTCATTTCACTATTCAGTTAGTTTCTTCTATCTATGTGATCCTCAACTACACGTAAGGTGAGCCACTATGTTGAGACCTGATGGTTTTCTAAGTGCCACCACCTAGTTTTGGTCCCAAGTTTGGAAAGTTCCAGATGAGCTAAAAGACATTAGCCAAGCACAGACATAAATTACGCTCATGGTCCCTACTTCACTTTTCTCCAAATGCCTTTGTGTGCCAAAGTCACATCATTAACATTCACTTCACAAAACTCAAACACAACTTACAGAGAAAAGTCCTCTGGTTTGGATAAACATGCTTTCGTTCAAGCATTATGTAGTATTTATATTATTTTTCAAGTAAATTCCCTACCATTGAAATAGTCATTTTTGTTTGTTTGAGAGCAATTTTCTTCAGTCTAAGTATGAAGAAGAGAAAAATGTTGTTCTCATACATGATCACATTGTTTGTGAAATTTTACAGTACTTCCCCATTACACAGCTTCAGCCCACGCTTATAGAGCATGTTAATGATATTCAAAGTGGTGTGAAGGCCTACAGCACATGACAGTTTCAAAATGTCAGCACAAATGTATTGTAAGTTGAATACAGTCTTAATTTTTAAAGGAAATTGCACATTTCACAGAGTTGTGTATAAATGTCAGCCTTATTTTAAGGCTGAGTAAATAGTCTTAAACACATCCTAATCCTATTAGATGCAAACCCTGTGTGTAAAGGTTGAATTGAGTTGGCAGAGCATTGTAGGTAAACATGCATTCTGCTCCCATAGGTATACTGTACTGAGTGGTGGATAAAAGAGCTTTGTCCTTCTATTCCCCCAATAGTTTCCCTCCTTTTCCCCGTACTTTCAAAGCTGTGATTCTACAAATAGCTTGAAATAGTTCTGAAAGACAAACACTCCACATTTGGGATGCTCACTATTCCACGCTCTGACTCAAAGATGAAAACTCACACAGCTCTTAATTAAACCTGTACTTACAAAACAACGAATACACAGCTATTCACAGTGGTGCCCAAACAATTACTCGCAGGAGCTCTATAACTCCACTGAACAATAACTGAACTTACATAACTTACTCCTTTATGTGTGATAAAGATGCATCCCCAATGAACTGCAGCTCTCCATGAGCAACCAGAAAGAATCTGTTCTTAAGCAGATAAAACTATCTGGTTAGAGTTTTACATTGGTATGGAGGGTTTGCTGGACTTCTTTGCAGTTTGCTCAGGCATTCTTCCCTCCTATGTTTGCCTTCATTTTCTTTTATTTTGTTTTTGGGGTTTTTTTTGCTTGCTGCAAGGGTGGTAGAAGACAAAACAACTGAATTTCATTTACTAGCACACTAATCCTTGTACCACAATAAATTTGATTAAAACACTCATATCATATTCTTCCTGATGTCACTACCTTCTCTGAGAGGGATTCCAATGTCTCTTCCCAACATTATTTCCTTTCCTTGTAGTCCACCATCATTCCTACTGCTAGGTAAATAATTCTCTATTGCTTATGGGGAGAGAAGTTCATGTTCCCAGCTCCTATGCTCGGTCAATCTGACTTTCTGATGCTTCCAACAGCAGTGACAGACAGAATTTGACAGGAAGAGGTAATTCTGTAATCAGGGCAGGTTGCAAATTACTGCTGGGAGTTCCAACACAGGTATTTCCCAGCAGAAGAAAAAGTTATTCTTCAAACATAATGCTTCCCTGAAGTTTTCCAGCAGACTTTTAATCAGCAGCCAGCTGTCAAGATTCTGCACACACAGACATACATCTAACACTGACATTTAGTTTTCAGCCTACATAACCTAAGAGTGTTTGTTACACTGTCAGTAGGGAAGACAGGGTAAATTTAAGATAATCCAAAATGAACACCCAAGATTCATTTTCTACATTGTTAACAGCAAACAAATATCCCATTTATCTAGGAAACAAGAGTTATAAAATCACCTACCTACCTGAGTTGGTTACCTAAGAAGAATGGAAACTAATCATAATTTTAAAGCTTTTTAAAGCTATTTACATGTCAGCTGTTCTTCCCGGTTTTGTGTACCCTGTAAGAAGACCTCACTATTTTAGCCAATATTCTCTTAAAATTTACTTTGCTTATAAGTAAGCTTTTACAAAACCTAAAACTAAAAAGTTTTTCTTTAAAGTCGTGTTTGTATCATTCAGGACACTAATCTTGGTAGCATTTCTACCACCAGCAATGGTGCATTGGGCTAGCATAAGCTAGCTTAACCATGATATCCAAACTGACTCAACACTAATAAAAAATGTAAATACTATTATTAGGGGTTTATATCGTGAATTTAAAACAATTATACAAAAATATTGTAAAGAAGTTAACAAGCAGATGCAAAAAAAAAAAAAGAAAAAAGGTAACCAACTTTGAAAATATTGCTAAACACTCTAAATTATCTAAGTTACCTAAATAAAACTACAGAACAAATACTTTGGTCAATTTCAGTCAATGGTATAAGCTAATGCCCAGCATTAAACTGAACTCTATGCTTCAGATTCTGTAAAATAAGTCATAAACTGTTCTTTGAAAATCATTTGATATATATATTCAAAGAGATAGGAACAATGTTATTCATGCACATCCAAGTGTGTGAGAGCAGGGCAGAAACAGCCCCCCTTCTCTCCTCTCTACAGAACCCTGAAGAACCAAGTGTTGGCAGTGTAAGACACTGAAACCATGCTGGTGAGGTCTTTATGTAAACATAGAGCTTTATAAACATTTAAAGTACAAATAGGTACACATGAATTCAGAGAACCTGTGTTTGTAATTTTATTCCAAAATGATAGCACTTAATAACAATTTCTACCAATAAACAGTAACAACCACTTCACATTGAAGTTTAGAATAAACAGCGCATACCGTTACTTGCATCGTATTTTATACACACATCATGTCCCAAATTACTTCAGAGTAAATATGTAAAAAAATACCAACTAATGCAATATGAAAATATTCCACGCCCAATTAATTTCAGTTAATAGATGTATTTACCCAAAACAAGCAAATAGATGGGGGAGTACTTACATCACTCTGGTATTTATTGACTTCCATAGCATGCTTAATATCTGGAGGCTCCTTCATATGTGCATAATCTGAAGTTCCTTTCTCAGCATCATGCTTTTGTTTATAGAGAACCTGAAAACAGCAACATTATACATTTGTGCCTCAGCAGAGCACGTATAATAACATGAGATGGGTTAAACCTAGTGTCGTAGTGTGCCTGTATTCAGGAAGAAATGCAATAACTAATTAAGCTCCTTAATGGAACCAGAACCCTGAAACAAGAGTAGCTTCCACCCAAAACAGAGACATATGAGGCACAGTTAGCAGAGACATTTCTCTACATCTGTTATTGCAACAGAGGTATGAGTAGACAAGAGGGAGAAAAATATACCAAAACAGAAAATTCGCCTTAACAAGGTGAGAAAACAGTCCAGGGAAAAGCATAAGCAAAAGGTTTTTTTGCTCAAAACACATTTGAAACTATCAGTTAAGTGACTACTTCAGGTTTAACTTTTTTTATTCTGTTAAAAAAAAAAAAAAACACAACAACAAAACCAGATTTTGTGCATTCCTCATGAACAAACAGGTTTACATGAAATACTCACAGCCCAAACATCTGTTTCTTCCACTGTTAGGAAATTACTAGCACAATGCACATTTTGACTAGCCCCCAGATTCACAAAGAAATCTTTACATTCAATTGTCATCATGCTAAAGGAAAATGGAATTGGATTGTGAGTTTATAAAAAAAATTATTTTTTTAATAGAAACTGAGCTCAATGTTGGGCATTCATCCAGCTTCCACTATACTCTGTTATGCTTACATACACACACTCATACACTAAAACTGCCTGAAAAGCTGATCTTGCACTTATCCTTGTCGGAAGCTTTTAGGCTTACATCAAGAAAATTCACCAGGTTTTGATTCTTGAAGAAGCAGCAAGCATCAAGAAAATTCACTTTCTAATAGCTCTCAGGAGCACGCATTAAAATAATCCCCAAGAAAACAGCAAATACTAAATAAGATTGAAAGCCGATCAGGAGAAGAAGGATCTGAAACTAAAACCCTCAATAGCAATAAAAGAATACTGTGAAAGTTTTGAGGTGGGAACTCTAAACTACAGTGAATCAGACCCTTTTAGGACATGATACTAGAACTGTGAGAAAATGTTGTATCTGTTTGTGTTTAAGGCAGCAAGATTGCATCAGAGTCACAGATCAGGGTGCCCAAGGCAATATATTAGTATCTCCCCTGACCATCTCAGATTACAAAATGATATATAGGCTGAGAGATTAAGATGAAAAGGCCTGGGGTTTTTTTTGCACTGCTACTATATGAATGAAAATACCAAATTAGGAAACTTAAAATGTGCCATCTCCTTATACAGTGTAAATCCCACCATGAGAAAACTAACAGAAATGACAATTAAGTGTCCACTATCTTGGGAAAATATAACTGCTTCTTTAGCTTAATGTAGGAATAAACTGACTTGTTAGACAGCCCTGTTCTTCCTAACTTTTCACATAATTTTTATTAACTGATTTAAGTAACCTTGAAGAAATCACAGGTTATGAGGAGTTCAATAGCTGTCTAGTTTTGGACAGTTTAGTGCAGAACTATTTCCAGATCTGTAAATCAGTTCCAAGAAAGCATGAAAAAAATGTTTATGAGGGTTATTTCATCAATATTCTTAGAACCATTATTTTACATGATAGTATGTGTACATTTATTTGTCATTTCATGTTAATTTTCAAGTTTTAGCTAAACTGAATTTATTTTTTTTTTTTCCAAATCTATGTATGAAACTACTGTACATAGAGATCAAGTATTACAGGTCATTGACATAACCTCTACTCTGTAGTGGCACCATTTATTAACTTAAGAAATACAAGGTAATTATTTGAGTAGGCATGACTCCAGATTGAACTAATTTGTATGTACTCGTTTCTTATTTTTCTTATCTCTCCTGTACACCAGTGTGTGAATAGGAAGCTGCATTAAGGAAGGCTTTGTGCTCTTTTAACTTAACTCTGACTGACCCTCTGCTTTTGAATACTTTGAACACTACTAAATTTTTGTTTTTGTATTTCTCTTTATAGCCAGAAAGCTGAGCCCTGAACTTAAAATCTACAACGTAGGATTGTAGAGGAGGAAATGTTTGAGAACACAGAAAGTGTCGTTTTAATTGCTAGATACTGAACTAGATTAGCTGATGTATTTGTGTAAAACAAAACTAGAGAAGCCCAGAAGGCTAATACCTGCCATCATAAAAAAAGAGGAATTCTTGAAGAATGAGATTTGAAACCATAAAAAACCATGAAGAATTACATAAAACAGCCTGATAATGTGTAATATGATCGTAAATTATGCAGTAAGCCACAAAAAATAGCTTTATCATAGTAAGAACAAAAAAAAAACCACCGTATATGAAAATAAAAGGAGAATTCTGCCTATAAGTAAGAAAAACTCTGAAACTTTCTCTTGAAGTTGAAAGTATTGCTTAAGATTCACTTGGTTCATCATCTTTAAGAACAAACAGAAAATATTTAAGCATTGACATATAGTTACTATTTGAGATATTGCCCTGTGCAAAGGAGAAAATGAAACTGCCTTCAGTTTGCTTGAGATTATTCCTTTCAGATAAGAAGAAAAACAGTGCAATCTCTTCTTATGGCAGAAATAAAGTGATGAAAAAACTGATGAAATGCATACTTTTCTTCAACACTGTTTCCCCTTTGAGCAATTTTAAATACCTTTATCACTGTTTGTGACACCTTATTAAAAAAATTGTTCTGTGTAAGGAAGGGTTCAGTATACTGGTCTTCAGACAAAAAAAGACTTGGCACAGAGCTAGCAGTGATCAGAAATTTTCCTTCAGAAATACTGTCCACGGGAAAATTGTAATTTTTCCAGAAAATGTCCATTTCCTTCCAGAAAATCAAAATGAGGGCTCCCTGCCTGGACTGCTCTCACCAACTTCATTTTCTCATTGCAGAGAACAGGGAAATTGGTGAGAGCTTTGTAGACTGGCAGGGAGGGTGAAGTTAAATGGTGAGGACAGGGACTTACGTTCTCTCTAGCTTACCGTGGGGACAGCTATGATAGAAGAGATGAAGACAGGAAAATCTGCTTGCTCACTCTGAAGAAAGCTAATTAGAAGGCAATAGACATTTTCTGTATATAGAAAATGGATGAAAGCCACCCAAGCTATGCAAATTCTTTTTTATTCTCCTGAAACACTTTTTTTTTCCACAAACAGTGTCATGATTTTTTTGTCAAAATTTTTGATGCATTTCCTTCTCTATGGGTGTTCATTTCCACCTTCATGCCAGTTCTACATAAAATTCAAAACAACAAACATGGGCTTTATGCAAAAGCCCGCAGAGATAGTCTGGCTTTAGTCTTTCCTGTGTATTTTGAAGAGGGAATTGAGCATGAATCAATACAACCAATATGGGGAGAAAGCTCCTTAGGAGGAAAATCACATATGTCAGAGTGTTGTACTCTCCATTATGGTAAGATCCTGTCAGTGCTGATGTTGAATGGCTGAAATGCTTCAGAATGAGGTCCTGGCTCTGCTAAAATCCAGAACAATTGCCGTATCAGTTAAAGATAGTGCTATGGCAGTCTGCTTGTTCTGGAGAGGACAGTGGAGGGCAGCTGTAGGTGGGCAATAATTTCTTGTGAGTAAAAGGAAATTTCACCTAGTTGCCTCCAAGTTCCTAAATTATGAGTGTGAGCTGAAACAGAGTACTAGACTTAGGCTAGATCTAGGAAGGCTGAAAACAGCGCTGCCAGGCAGCAGCAGGGCAGCAGCACTATTTCAGGATCAAACATCATATCATGGCAGAGACCATTTGTGGAGGACCATGTAAAGAGATCACCCAGTAGAGGCATACTGGCCTCAGCAGGCAGCAGTGGAGAGAGTCAGTGGCTCTCTTTCTTCCACACCATGATCCCCTAGTCCCGACACACCTGCTTGGCAGATGAGGCTACAGATCCAGCCAAGAACACGGCATCACAGAGTGAGAAAGCACCTGCTTGATCTGGCTACAAAATCATTCAAGCCCAGCCTTGCACCCAAGCAGCATGAAAAGGGAGTCAAAGATGTAAATTCCTTCTAATGTGGATGGGGAGGAGAACATGTAATTTCCACCTTTCAGGAAATCAGCACCTATTTAAAATCAGCTTAATATAATTGAGAAACAGACTGCAGTTCTGTGCTTGTAACAGCCTTTTTGCAGGAGGGTTGGCACAATGGCCAGTTGGTACTGTTCCCTCTCCTTCCTAAGGCATACTCATGGTCTCCTCTTGCTGAAGTGATGACCTGTAAGTTCACAATCCCAGCTAGATAGGTGCTGCAGGAATCCCCTCTGCCATATTCTGACCCAGTTGAAATTTGAAATCCTTGTATTAGCTACTTAGGTATCGCAGTGATAAGCACAATATGGCTTAGATTTGAATACTGTAGAGATTTTCCACTAGAAAATCCCCTAGGATTTCTCCCAAAGTAGCATTAAATTCAGGTCCACTATAACAGTAACCACAAGTTGGAAAAATGTGTCAGCGTATCTTTAAGTTTTATGGTAGATTATGATTTATAATGCATCTATTCCTAAGGGGATGGAATGAATTTTACAGGAAAAGTTTCTGCTTAAATATAACTCATGGTATATGCATATCTGTTTCTCTACAACTGTTGGATGATTGAAGAAAAACTTCAAAAAGTATCAAATGAAAATGTTAGTCTTTAAAGGGGTTTTTTTGACAGATCAAATGGTTTCATTTTTAGTCTCAGTTATTTATCTTTTCTGCCACATCACCTATGTTAATTAACCTCATTTGTATATACTAATGTAGAAGATACCCATTTAGAATGAATCCAGGAGTAAATCTGTGGCAAACTAGTTAACTAATGTTTTATAAATCAAGCTAATGATTTAAAAATGTTACACAAGTTTAATTCCCAATTTATTTCTACTGTAATTCTTCTAATCACTCACTTTACAATGAAACACCACATTAATGTCATATCAGCTACTGTGCTACTTTAACTTGAGTGTATATATGTTCCATTTCAAACTATGGAAACTAAAATATACTTTATTTGCTTAATATAGCCTTGTTTAACACATTGTTTTAAATCAAAACATTTCTCCACAAGCTGTCCTGAGATATCAGTGCTTTCTTCAGTTATGAATATTTTCCCTTTCTTGAAAAAAAAAATAAAATCACTGCATTACAAGAATGCATATTGAGATACAATCAATTTTATGGATTTAGGAGTGTGTTCGCTTCACAGACTGGCTGCGCTAAACTATACGTAGTTAATAGCCTTGAAAGAGGAGAAAGGCAAAACAAGAAAAATGTGGAAATGCTTGGTGGACAGAAAGCCAAGACCATCTATCAGCTGTAATTCTCATAAGTAACAATGAAAATTTGCAACTTCATTCGTATTACACATACTTAACACTCACAATTCTGCCGAGATCAATGGAAGTGGAGGGTCACCTGCCTACATTAAAGAGTATTATATTTTTAAGCCCCTGGAAGCAACTGAACTTAAATTTGCTATTTTACTGTTTGTTTGCATGTTTTACATAATTACAATATACTTGATTTCATATTTTTAGTTCTATAAAATTTGTTGTGAATGGTAGTATGATGTAGACCATCAGAAATACATTTACTGCTACCAGTAAGTGGTAGTCATTATGTTTTCTTCCCTTCAGCATCAGACATTTTATAAAACTAATACAACATTCCTATTGAAATGGCTGTTCTATAAGATTTGTCTGTTCTATAAATGCAATGCAATGTCACTGAGTTCAATTATTCCTTACTGCATTCATGGATTTCTAATGGATTTCATTGGACTGATGAACGCATTAGCAGTTTTTAAATTTATATTTAATAAACGTAACAAGTAAAACTGCAAACATTTTATAAGTGAGTAGTTCTTGAAGTTAAGAAGTTATGGTGATAAAATCTGGATGATAAACTCACCCAAATAAATCAAGCAGGTAACCATGTATCTGTTCAAATACACTGGTCAAATTGGTCATATTCTGTCACACAATTCACCTAAAAATCATTGTTATGATTCTAAAATTGTACCTTGCTTTGAAGTTGCATTAATTCCTTTGCAAATACACTGTCAATTGTGGCTGGCATCTGCTGATAAAGAGAGCTGGAAAGGTCTTTTTTAGCAGCTCCTTTATACTTCACCTAAAGGGGAGAAAAAGGTGGCATATAATGCAAAAATTAAGACACAGGTATCATATTACCTAGGTTTTGTATTCAATTAAATGGCATAGACCATTAGAACTAAAATCTAGCACTGTCATAAACCTTCAGGCAAAACCAGATCTTTAAATAATAACTTTAAAATACTTCAGGTAGATGTGTCTAAATTACAAAACAATGCAAAGTATCTCCTAATTAAATTCAATAATTTGGGGGGAAGCATAAAATAAGCTAAACAAAGCAGTTATTTTTCTAGCCTTTTTAAAATCATCTCCAAAAAACAAAATGATCTTTTCTCTTTCCATTTTCCCAAATTGTGAACAACAGGAGCAATGAGAAGCCAACAAAAAATACTTTATTGATTAATAAGCAGTAGCAATTAAACAGAAATGGAAAAGACAGGCACATCAAACTTAGCATGTCTGCCATCATTTCCATTTCGTCTTTTCATATTACAGACTCATTTTCCAATTAACCTTTCTCTATCCTGTACTTTCTCCAGTGTTCAGTACTAGCAATTCCTCGCAAAAGGGTTTTATGAGACAAGCCAGAATAATAGTTCAAAATCTGGGAGGCTTTTGCTTCAGACCCAAGTTTTTCAAATTAATTAAACAATAATGTCAAGTATTGTTGTGAAAGTAATCATAAATATCAAAGATATCTTAAATGATACTGTCTAATGTCATTAATTTATTGTGCAATATTCTGCTTTTCGTTAGAGACTGGTTCCCCATATGTATTACATATATTGTTGCTGTTTCCCAGAACAGAGGACTCTTTCTCACTGTAGTAGACATGCTGTTAAGAATTTCAGTGTTCAAGTTTTGCAAAAATAGGTTGTGGGACACTAGAGGTCAGTAATTTACAAGATAAACCATCCATCACATCTGGTTTCAGGTAATGCAGCAATAAGCAAACAGAGCACTCAACACTAATAACATAAAACACGTGGGTTTTAAAATTCTTAAATATCTTTATATCTCTAAATCTTTGACTAATAATTAGCAGCTTTTCTTTGGAATCAGACAGATGGATTTCATAAATACTGCCTATATATTGTGCTTTGGTGGACTACAATGGTCTGTCCTTAGAAAGTATCATTTAATCATTTATGCCCCTTGGGATATCCCACTCTTTCTCAGATAATATGAAGACAAATGTAACAAAAATACTCATCAGATGCATTTATATGCAATGTAGCCACACAGCAAACTGATGTATATCAGGAACAGAATATAGAATGTATACAAATTACAAAACTACAGACAGGGATATTGGGATGTTCTTTATCATAATCATAAATGTAGCAGAAAAAAAAACAAGGCAGCAAACATTTAAGTCTTCCAACAGTCACAGTGACAGAAAAATCACTCAGAACCAGCAGTTCCTTAACAAAAGCAACTCTCTGTCAGGTAAAATTCCTGATGGTATTCTGACCTGTGGAAAATAAGCAGAGATGTAATCCTACAACACCTTGTAGCTCGGACATGATGAGCTGCCAGTAAACTCTGCTCTGGCATTTTGGAAGCTACTGTTCTTTCTTTGTCACTACTGTTCTCTGTGTGTGTTATGTGAAGACCTAAAAACTTGGCATGGGTATGTACATATATGCACGCTAGAGCTCAGGCGACCTGCTATTGTCACTGACCTGATGTCGGCCCAGTCCCCTTGCTGAATGAGGACAGGGATGATAACAGGGCAGCAGTTTCCTTGTCTCCTCTTTGATATCAGGGTATGAATTCTCCACATTAGGGAAATTATGCACAGCTACAATTTGCAAACCTCATCACTGCAGGATAAGTAACAAGAAATCGTCTTCCTATTCCTCAGTTCATCCATCCATAAAATGGGGTAGGAAGGACTGCCTATTCAGAATCATTAATAAAATACCTTGGAATTCCAAAATTAACATGTTGCAAAATTCCAAATTATTATTACTCACATATAGATTACACACTATTATAGCACTTTAAGTCACTTCAGCTTTAAACAGATTTTTTTACTTGAAACAAGCCATCCTTCACCTGCTAAAAACCACCATATTCAACTGAGAAAGGATAAAAAGCAAAGAGAATTCTTCATCCTTTTAGGTCTTACCTCAGAAATAAAAGCACCAAGACTTTTCACATGTTTTAGCTGCGGGGTGTCAGGTACAAATATGCACTTGCCTTTAGATTTTTTAAACTCTTCTTTATAGTGTATCTACAAAGAGGAGAAAAAAGAAAAAAAAAAAAAAGAAGTTTAAGTGTTCTTTAAAACCCCAGAAAAATAAACAATGGCTATTTTTATTTATTTTTTCTTAGTAGCATTACTTGATTTATAGATACTATGATAGGTGGCTTGCAAATACCTCAGACTGAATCAAATTAAGCCATAAAGGGAAACACTCAGTTCTCACACACGGTACCAGAGCTATGTTAAAGTCACAGAACTCTTTAATAATGAAGATGAAAAAGATTTTTCTTTACATCTACAGCATATTTCACCACTGTTGCAGATGTTCTAGTATCTCTAAAGAAATAAGACTCAAATAAGTGATATCCTTGATCCTTGATCTCAAAGATAAAATTGTTAAACTAACTTCTAAATCAGACCTAGCAAGCACAAAATCTGTGTAACACAATCAAACGCCCCTTTATGAATCCAAGAGTTACATGAATAAATTCAGGCCACTGCCAACTCATTGCCTACAAAGCAGCCAAGCAGTTTTGACATGCAAGTAATAACAGAATTTCTTTAACACCAAACAAATTCTGATTTGAACCATTTTTTAAAGCACATATGCACAAAGTAAACCATTTCTGAAGCAAAACACTAGAACATATTTTACAAGAAGAAAAAAAAAAAGGTGAGGTTTTTGGGGTTTTTTTCATAACAACCAACCTTTTTCTTGCTATGGGGCAACAATATGGGCAGGTATAATAATCACATGACTGTTGATAAAGTCAGTTACTGTTTCTATTAGTGAGACTGCAAGAAGGATAAAATCTATGGACACAGTGAATGTGTAGGGACCTTATTATGCAAGAACTGCAAGAAGAAAGATAGTGGATTTACAATGAGATAGACTAAATAAATTTTTAAGATAGACACTTTACATGGATAGCCTTTAACGTTTTTAGTGACATTTCTTTCTTTGTAAATAGAATAATTTAGCTCAACGCAAATTGAATTATTTAGTATTAAGCTTTCATGGTTATTATCTGCTACCGATTCTCTAACCTCATTTTCACATTCTGCATAACAGCAGCTTGCATTTATGCACTTTAGACTTGCTGACAAGCACTGACAGAAGCAATATGATCTGCATCTGAGCATTATAGAAATATGCAGTCTTAATTTCCTCTTTCTCTGAATCCTTAATGGATATCACAAATTCCAGTCTATGCTCCTCTAGAGGGACTTTGAAAATTCATGCAAAATATGGCTGCCTACACAGATTCAGCTCCTGTACTTTCTGACGCAAACATTTTGTCCACCACAGTATGGATTAGACAACACCAAATTCATTTCAAAATGTTGACTACATAATCCTTACACAGGAAATAATTTTGGTTACTATTGAGCCCATCCACATTTGGACTACTGGAGGAATCTACATCTCATTACCAAATCATACTGTCTGCTTTTGTGGATTCTAAATAAAAACTGCTTGGTGAACAGTGGATGTAAAATTACTGTGTATCATGATTTTACACAGGGACCCACAAATCAAATGGTTCATGTAACCTGCATGTAACAGCGTACTCCTAGGTAATCACAGAGCAATACGCGAAAAGGGCAAGTTTTATTATAAACATGAGCAGGCACTTATTGTTCAACCTGTATGTATGTGCAAGTGTGTGTAAGTATGTGCACATGAACAGCTTTAAAAAAAGAGCTTTGTAAATTTATGTTCATTCATGGCTCAGAAGGGTTATGGGAAATACACAGAGCTGACTTTCTACTGGTTAGTTCTGCTGGTGTTCCCAGTAGAAACTGATGTAAAGCTGAGAATCTGGTAGAGGAGTCTTGCTGCTTACAACTTAGATAAATCACCCATACATATCTGAGAGCTGACTGTAATTACGTCCATTTTAATTACAGAGCAATAATTACATTCAAAAATCAAACATAAAAGCTTCCTAAGGTATCTCTTAATTGGGGGGGGAGGAGACAGGACACAACTAAAATAAATAATCAAAGCTATTCTGCTGTAGAAGTCATGCTTTCAAAATAAGCAAAAGCAGTAAAGGACGAATGCTACCTCCTTACTTCTTTATTATTCACATTTATTATAGTAACCCATACAGGCCACAAAATGCATGTAGGCTCAAATGAGCAATTTAGAGATACAACAAAACGTGTGGTCAAACTCTAATTCAACACACTACATTCTGATACAGAAGTGTATGCATCACTTTGAATCAGAAAGATGGAAGATGAAATGGGACCTTCCAACCCAAACTATTCTATGATTTTGTAAGTATAATGAAGTCACGGTATTTGCACTTAAAAAGCATACTTATTGCAAATGACATAAGTAAGAGGCTTAGGAGATTTGCTATGTCTAAACATAACCAATGGTTGGAAGGAATAGGCAGAAAAGCTAATATTCCTCTTCAAAGTTTGAGATTACATATTCAAATGTCTAAAATACTGAATAGGAAATTTTGCCTGCAAGTGACTTTCCCTTCACTACAAAATACACTGTTCAGGTTGAGTAGATCTGGTTAGCCTTGAGAAAAAAACAAATAATAGGAAAAATTTGTAAAAGATGGCCTGAGGCCACCACTGCATTTTTGCTATACTTTTGAAGTCCAATTGCTCACTAAAGGCCAAATTTTTAATAGCTCCCTCCTGATCCTTTTCTTCTTCCTGACTCATTACAAAACTACTAACCAGCAGCACAGCTATCCAGTATAAGAGGATTAAAATTCCTAGACAACCACCAAAACAGTAAGCTTCAATATGCATTTTGTTATCAACTTTATAAAACAAGGGCATCAAACCTCTGGCATTGGGCATTGTTCACAGGGGAACACAGGAGGAGGCTGTGGGCTGAAGCAAAGGCTCTGATGATAACAGCTTAATCTGAGCCACCACTTTTCCTTTGTGTGCAGAGGCACATGCTAAAGTGCTAACTTTAATATGAATATGCTTGAAAAACTGTTCTTAGTATCTAAACATCTATGATATAACCATGTTGATAGTCACCACGCCAAGATACATTACTGAATTGTATTTCTCAAAGACCCACATAAGTTCAGAAAAGCCACCAAAAGGTCTGAACCGTCATATCTAACTCTTAAGCTGGACCAAAAGGGAACTTTTCCCACTAAGAAATCCCTTTCCAATACTACATTTATAATCTCTCGTAAAAGTCAGAGCTGTGTCAGATCACAGATCCACATAATACCAGTTGCTCTTTCTGTGGCCACAGAAACCTATGAGACGGTCGATTTCAAGATCCTCAGGACAGTTAGAAGAGCATGCAGCAAGCTCACTGCCCTGGACTTCAAGAGAGCAGACTTTGGCCTCTTCAGGAACTTGCTTAGTAAGGTTCCATGGGATATAGTCCTAGTGGGTAGGGGGGTCGAAGACTGCTGGTTGATATTCAAGGATCACCTGCTACAAGCTCAGGGGTTTTGCATCCCAACTAGAAGGAAGTGCAGCAGGAGGGCCAGGAGACCTCCATGGATGGATAAGGAACTGCTGAGAAAACTTAGAGGGAAAAAAGAAACTTATAGAAGGTGGAAGAGAGGACAGGCAACCTGGGAAGATTACAGGACTGTTGTCTGGGAAGCTAAGGACCAGGTTAAGAAAGCTAAGGCCCAGTTAGAATTAAACCTGCCATGGGATGTGAAAGATAACAGGAAAGGCTTCT